ATGCAGAAAACTTGGAACAAGTAGAAAACTCCCACAAAGAAATAAAGTCTAAGAGAAATTTGTAGTCACAAACATGACATAGGAGCAATCAGAGTAGGAATTAATGGAAGATATCTTTGAAGGAGTGAATTCATTGGGATAAAGTTACACATAAAAAAGAGGTGCACTTGAGGGCAGAGGACTAGCAGAATTCAACTAAAAAGGCAAATGCAAGTTGTAAATTGTGAACAGTAAAGATACTCAATAAGTTACTAGAATGGTAACTTATTGGGTTTTGAAGACAAAAATAAGTTGGGAGGACTTTTGGCAAATAGTGTTAAACATTAGGTCTAAAGATTGAGTCGCCTGAACTTCATAGAGGAGATCATAGGATGAGAATGGAGTGTGAAGTAAATTATTCTTGTCTGGTCCAACATGGTGGTTAAGGAAGGTAGATAGCAAGTGGTAAGTGAGGAAGGCTGGAAAGGAAGAGAATCTTCCACAGTGACTCAAAGAATGTGGGGACAGAGAAAAGAGGTATAAAAACAAACCCATTTTCAACACAGCTTTATGAAGAAAGCCCTATTGTATCCAAAACAATGAAGTGTCTAAGAGGTATCCGATATTACATTTTGATTTCCATGACTAAGAAAAAAGCCAGTTATCTTAGAACATTTTCCCAGACAGGCCAGCAGTTTTAAACCTCGTGCTTCATCAGCCTCACTCTCCTTCACTTACACTTTGAAATTCGATAATTAGGAATCAAGTCATTAGGAGACTAGCCCTATGGGGACACCAAGGTCATTGGTCACACCAAAGTTGACCAATAAGCTTGAGGTCAGTAGCCCTAGAACCATTTGACCTCGATATGGCCTGCAATGAATGGCCATATAGGAAACAGTGTAACCTTGCCAGGCAATGTGGCAACGAAAATGTGTGCTTGGGTTTCAAAAGAAATGCATCATCTTATTTTTATGGAGAACCTTTCTTTGGTTTTCATGAGCTTGATCTCATTCTCACAGTAGGCTTGTGAAATAGGAAATGGAAGAGATATTTTAATTCCCATTTTATAAAAGAATACATGGAGAGATAGAGATCAAATGACTTTTCCAATTCTGCTTCTTAAGTAGGCCAATGGGGTTGGATCTCGGGCCAATTTTCCTAATGACATCCCCTTCTGTGCTCTTAAGCCCAGTCTATCCCAGGACTTGGCATGGCACCATCAGATGACATATACCAGGTGGCTCATATTTTTATTTCACAACATGTAAATGACATTCATACAGCACAGTCTATAAATATCCTACCCAATCAGTTCTATCTGAACAAGCAAATGCAACAATTTTGGCACGACACATGTTTAGACATCTATATATTTTTTTAAAGTGAGCAGCTAAATACTGTCAAGGTGTAAGAGAGTTTTAACTGTGACAACTGATCACTCGTCTTTTACATTCAGAAATCTTCTGCATAGCTCCACAAAGATATTATAAGGTCCTTTGTCACTCGCATGCATGATGACTTGAAAAATTGCTCTGAGTGGAAAATATCCACAAATTATAAAAGGCAGTCTTACTAAGAACCACAAATAGTTCTCATTCTGTTTCTAAATAGCAAGATCACATTAAAACTCAAAAATAGGTAACTTTAATCACTATAATTCAAATAACTACTCTTTAGACCTGGCAGGGAACCTTGAGAGCTTTGGATGTTACCCTTAGTACTTTTTTCCCTATGAATTCCTGGCATTAGTGGAGGAAGGCTAACGCATGCTTGGGGGCTGGGGAGTTGTTAACAGTGATTAAAGTTAGGGAGAACCTTAGAGGAAATTGGCTTTTGTTACCTTCCTGCCATTGACTTGCCCACTCAGGAACCAATCAATACTCATCCTTGATTATGACAGTGGTGGGAATATCTTGGTGTGACTGTCCTGATTTTATAGAAGGATGTAACCAAGGACAGATAATAATTCCTGAAATAGCAATTGTCCTTTGCATAACAATTTATAGTTTACAAACCCCGTCACCTGCATGATCTCATTTGTTATTTCCCATAGAACAATAAGTTGCTATCATTGTTCCTCATTACTTTTCAAGAATCTGAGTCACAGAGGATTTAAGTTAGTTTTGAAAGTCACACAGCTAGTAAGTGATGGAGCTGGAAATAAGACCAAAGTTGTGTAACTCCCCATCCCATGTAATGTCCACACACCATGCTGTGTCAGATCAGAAATGGAGATGGGCAGAAAAAAAAAAACAACTAACCAAACAAGAAGAATGGGGAAATGAAAGGTGCTGAAAAGAAAACCCAAATGACCAATAAACATATGAAAAGATGCTCACCCTCACTAGCAATCTGGGAGATGCAAATTACAACCATGATCACACCCATTAGATTAGCAAAAATTAAAAGTTTGAGAATGCCAAGTACTGCATCAGATGGGAAGCAATGAAAATTCTGATACGTTACCAATGGGAATGTAAATTGATTTGACCTATTTTGTCAGCCATGTGCCATCTAACAAAGGTGAAAATGCACATGGCCTATGCCCAGCAATTCTATGCCAAGGGACATACCTCAGAAAAGCTCTCCATATGTGCACAAGGGCCATGGAAAGAGGGCCGTAGCAGAGTTATCTTTAACCAAAACTTCACGAGAACCCATGAACAGAAGAACGGATAGGTAATAATAAATAGAGATGTAGTCAGTCATCCAATAGATGCTATGTTGCCATGAAAATTAATGAACTTGAGGTACAGGTATCAAAATAGATAAACATCACAAATAACATTTTGAGGGCAATTACAGAAAGATAATATCATATCATTTACAAAAGGTTTAAAATACGCAAAAACATATTTTAGGGATATTATGTAGGGACTACATATTATTTAGGGATATTATTTATGGGTACCTAGATATGTCACAGAAACATAAACTATAATGTGAACAACAAACATCAAATGCATGACAACGGTTGCCGTTGGAAAAGGCCGGAAGGGAAGCAGGTGGGAGAGGGGTGCTCTTCAGGGCTCTTCAGCTAAGGTGAGAATGTTCTAATCATTAAGCTAGATGGTAGGCAGTACACAGGTATTCATTATTTTTTCAACTTTTTAATGTGTGAAATATATATGATAACTTTAAAAACAGAAGAGGCAGCAGGAGAAGGAAAAATGTTTGTCTGGATCAGTTCCTGCTCTGGGGGGATGACCAGAACCAGTTGAAAATGTTGCTGAAGATCCCAGCTGCCCCATTCTAATGAGGAATCATAGCAGAGGGTGCCCCTCCCTGTTCAGTCCTGGGTCCTGGTCCAATGTCCAGCCATTATTCCAGCACCCTCTCTGGTGCACATAATTGAAAAGTGAAGTTCCGTGTAACCAGTCACATAGCCTGTGATATCTTCTAGAATCAGACCTAACCTGGATCCCTGAAAATGCTGTTTGGCTCTTTTGTCTCTTTATCTTTAGCACTTTTAAGCAATTCTCTGGTATTTGGGGAAAGTGAGTGTTAACCAAGTCTATATTGGTGAGGGCATTTTACTCAGGAGTGTTTTATTCATAGAATCACTTATTTTTAAGTGCATTTTGTGGAGAAATTGTTTTATAGCAGACACCTAAGAAAGACCAGGAAAGTATTTAACTCTGGATGTTTAGCTCTGTTTTTCATTTTGGATGTTTGCAATTTTGATGGGCAAGGATGTCTCCAACGAAATCCCTTGTCATTTACACTACCCGGTTCAAAGTGATCCTGATAAATTAATGTCTCTTGAGGTACTCATTTGACAAGCTGTGCAAGCACGTCTTTTTGTTCCTCACATACTCCTCAGCACAGTCAGGCATGATCTCAATTTGCAAGTTCAACTCTCTAACGTTATGGGTTTTGAGGATAAAAATATGAATCCATGATAGAACAGCTCTCCAAAAATAAATTTGCTATTCAGACATAATTGAGTTTTTAAACAATTATCTCAAACAAACATATTTTCCTGTGTTTTAAGGAGGAAATAATTGTTTTTCTGAATATATTTTAGAGTGAATAATTTGCATTCAGGGCATTTTTAATATCATAAAGTTAACTTCTAACCAGTGGACTTGTGTAACTCTATGAAAATTCATTGGGAAGATAGGACAAATGCCTTTTTTGAAAAGATCTGCACACATATCAATTTATCTAAGATCAGAGGATAAGTCTATGGCAGCTTCCTGTTTGAAAGCAAAGGTCCCAAATCCCCTCCATCCTATTTTAGCAACAATAACATTACTAATGTTCCACATTTATTGGGCACTCACCATCTGTTAGGCACTGTACCAAGCACTTTTTCTGTATTATGTCATTTCATCCTCACAACTTCACAAATGAAGCTCAAAGCAGGTAAGTCACTTGCACAATATGATGTGTCTGCTAGGTATTTAGAGTCAGGATATGGACGCAGATCCCTGATCCCAAAACCTGTGCTCTTGACCTTTACTTGTATATACCTGGAAACTTTGCGATTACACCTTGCTGTAGACAGAGAAAATAAATGGGCAAAATATTTTCCTCTCCCATAAAAAAGAAAAAAAGCAGTTGAATTAGACAAGTGATTAAAAATAAATGTACTGGGGCTCGAAATTTTCATCCAGAACTCCTGACCACCACTTCTCAATAGTTCGAAAATTTTATTAACTGAAATACAGTAAAGATGCACACGAAAAAGAAGCATAGAATGAATGCTTCTTTAAGATACAAATTCTTCTCAACTTTTCTTTCTGACTTTTTCTTTCTGAATATGAGGTTGTTTCTGAACTTCAGTAATAATCATGTAGCATTTTTTTCAGCATTTGATCAGTGTATTTGTTGGCAGACCTGTTGTAACCTTGAAGCACCTACAGTAAATTTAAACGTTATCCTAATTGATCTCCTCACTGCTTACTGAGAAACAGAGCACCGCTTTCACTCATCTCATAAATAATTCCACTTCTGTAAGTCAACGATAATTGACCTTCCCTCACGTTGTCAATCTCTTTCTTTTTTCCTTGCAGGTGATGTCATTGTCTATATTAATGAAGTGTGTGTCCTTGGACACACTCATGCAGATGTAGTCAAGCTTTTCCAGTCTGTTCCTATTGGTCAGAGTGTCAGCCTGGTGTTGTGTCGTGGCTACCCTTTGCCCTTTGATCCTGAAGACCCTGCTAACAGCATGGTGCCACCCCTTGCAATAATGGAGAGGCCACCGCCAGTGATGGTCAATGGAAGACATAACTATGAAACATATTTGGAATACATTTCTCGGACCTCACAGTCAGTTCCGGATATAACAGATCGGCCCCCTCATTCTTTGCACTCCATGCCAGCTGATGGCCAGCTAGATGGCACGTATCCACCACCTGTCCATGACGACAATGTGTCTATGGCTTCGTCTGGAGCCACCCAAGCTGAACTTATGACCTTAACCATTGTGAAAGGTGCCCAGGGCTTTGGCTTCACGATTGCCGACAGTCCTACAGGACAGCGGGTGAAACAAATACTTGACATTCAGGGATGCCCTGGCCTGTGTGAGGGCGACCTCATTGTTGAGATCAACCAGCAGAATGTACAGAACCTGAGCCATACGGAAGTAGTGGATATACTGAAGGACTGCCCCATCGGAAGCGAGACTTCTTTGATTATCCATCGAGGAGGTAAGATAAACACTGGCTCAGCGATTAAATGTGCAGGTAAAGTAGTAAGACCTTTTCAATACGCTTGCAGAAATGGAAGTTTCCCTGCACTTGAATGAAATCATACCTTACAAAATGAAGTTTAAGAGAGTAAAAGAGAAAAACATGAGTCCAGGAAGCTGTGTTTTTTTTAAATTTTGAGAATATATATTTTCCTATACTGTATTAAATACAACAAAAAACTGCTTTCAGTCTTACAAATTTATATCACTATGACCTCAGAGGGTAAAGAATGGATCCCCAAGTATGAATGCGTAGTCCAAAAGTTCGTTAACTTATCAGTTGTGGAAACCTCAGACTGGTTTCTCATTGACTTAATTAAAAAACCTGATTTTTCCAAAGGAATTAGTGCTCTGGGATGTGCTTAGGAAGCCAGGCTAGCACAGGAAGCTGGTTCACCCCCTTCCAAGGGAAAGTGTCATCTTGATAATTCCCATAAAGACCAGTGGGAGCTGTGCCACCATAGGAAAATCTTTTCAGAGTTGAACAGGGCTGCCCAGGACACTTCTTCCATGACTATAGGGACTGCTCCAGCAGAAATTACCCATAGAGCCTTCCATGACCTGAGAAGAAAGCTATGGGACAGGGTGAGGGCTGAAGTTCTGAGCTGCATATTCTGGGTGACATATGGAAACAGGAGCAATGAAGAGTATGGTGGGAGCTCTGAGCCCTAGATATCTGGATATTTTTTCCCTTCTGCCTTTGTGGTGGGGAAGGGGTGGGGCTAAGCAGAGGGCCCCTGCTCCATGTCTCTGCTACTTTGCTCTTGATTATCAGTGAAACTTTGAGGGAGAAAAAGGAAGGGAAGGCCACAGATAGAGAAATTACTTGAAAACAGAGTATAAATAAAAAAAGCTCAGTCTAAGTTCTGGTTTCTCCTTATAAGTTTTGGGACTTAAAAAGTCCATGAGCCGCAGATGTGCCATCTGTTATACTGGGAAAATATTACCTAACCTGAGGGTAGTGTTCTTAGTACTGAATGGCCTACACTAGGTGCTCATTAAATGTCTTCTGGGTCTAAATCTGCACTGAAGCTGCAGCAGGGATAGGTTAGAAGGAGCAATACACCCTGGTATTGCAATGTGTTTACAACATAAGACAAGCACAAGGTATATCTACTCCACCATCTTGGGTAATTTTGCGTCTCAGGGTTTTTGTTTGTTTTGTTTTTGTTTTTGTTTTGTTTACTATCATATTTTACTATTGAAGTTATAGCAGGTTTCATAAAAGCAATCAATTGCTTTTCTTCTCCCTCTGCTCTAAAATAAATTAAGTAACACTGAAATTATTTGTTACTTAAAGGTATAACATAATACACCTTTGAAATTATCTAGTTCTGATGGTTGGGTTAGGTTTTTGGTTTGGTTTGCTGGGGAAGAGATGCCCTTTAACAACCCTCTCAATTTCTTCCAGAGTAATTAATCGTCTCAGAGTTTCTGTCTTGCCTGACCTCAGATTTTATCATTTATATTATCCTAACAAATTTCCTCTTTTGGTCATGTTTCCAAATGTGTTTAAATATAGTTAAAGCAAGTATTCTCCAATTTTTTTCTTTCATTTTCTACTTTACCTAAGCATATTTCTGTTATGCTCACTACTTATTGGTGATATTTTTTTTATTAGGTTGACTAATAGTTTTTCTATTTCAATGGATCAGGAAACATACTTGTTTATTCAAAAATAATTTGTTGGCCAATGCTCAAACTAGTATGAAATAGGGAATCATTATACTTTCTGCCCAAGGAGGCTATTTTATTTTATTTTATTTTATTTTATTTTATTTTATTGTTAGTTTCAGGTGTACAGAACAATACAATAGTTACCCTTTTCACCCTCACCAGGTAACAACCCCCCTCCCCCATCTATTGCCCTCC